GTGATTGGTTGCTGATATTTTGTTATTATTCATTTTCTTTGGTTTGTGGTGCCTGTGTTCAAATTTTTGCTAAGCCTAATTTTCCCAAGTAGTAATTATTTGCAGCATTCTCGCTCCTAGGTTTTAGTTCTATCTGCAAAATTTAAAAAATCTTTTTATTCTCATAAAGGAAAGATTGATACAATAACTTGCATCGCTACACTATGATCCCCATATTCTGCTTTTTACCTGAGTTATCCTAAGACTAGTACAATACCGCTCATATTTATTAAAAAAACACAAATTGAAGTGAAATTACGCAACCGCCGCATATGTCACGCGATGGTTGCTTCAGTTATGTGAGGTCGCGTGAGCTATGTGATATCACCTCGCATGACCATATCTCGCTTCAGAGTGGACGAGAAGCCACCATTTGACTCAGCTCGGCGCGGAGCATCTTATGTTATGTTGGAAGTGGGGGGTACGATGTCTTCAATATTCCATTTCCACTCAAATTTTTCTGCGGAGGTCTTTCCGCGAAGATGTGAGGCAGCGCTTATCCAGCACAGAAGATTCCACTAAGTACTATTCGATGATATCGTTATTGTAAATTATCGTGCGCTAAAAAATAGCCTCAGACTTTTTTTCAAAAGAGATAGAAGGGCTGGTGAACTGTTTCTATAAGCACGTTTCCAAGAAAATTTGGGCAGTCTGATTCTTTCTCGTTTCACGCTCTGAAGCTCGCCAGTGGGTTTTGCTCGAAATGTTGATGATCTTGGTTTCAGAGAAAACTCCGCTCAAAGACGTTCTCGAACACACTGTCATGAAAATCGTGGTCTCTGTCGAGTACCAAGAGGTAGGTCTTTCTGCAGAGATATGAGGTGAGCTAACTGTGACTGAGTCACGAAGTTTGTAAATCTGCCTACTCTTCTTGCGTAACTGCTAGAGAACTTGCCTGCTTGCTTCTATAGGTTAAAGATAGTAGGAACTCTCAGTCTCAGGCTCCAGACTGTAACAATCGCCGAGTTATGAGCCTACGAAAACACGCCCTCATGAATTTGCCCAAAATGTAAAGATCGCATACCTCGTCGATATTCCACCGTGTGTGGTTGTATCATGCTCATGTTGCAAATAATGTGTTCACTTCGCACAGTGGATCTCACTGTATTGAATATGGTGCTTGCGCGTGCTTCAGCTGCCCAATTGAATATCAAAACAATTTTGTGGAGAGCTCAAACTACCATATCTAACACAAGATGATCCATTAAGTGTGTGAAAAATATTGATCAGTGCGTTGTACAACCACTCACCGTGGGGACGAAGTATGCGATTTTTACATTTTGGGCAAAAATAAGGGCGTGTTTTCGAAGGCTCGTAACTCGGCAACTGTTACAGATTGGAGCCTAAGACATGAACTATTCAATAGCGCAGTCCCTATTAACATTGGGTAAAGGAAAGCAGGCAACTTCCCTGGCAGTTACGCGAGAAGTGTAGGCATACAAACACTGTGATTCAGTCACAGTTACCTCGCCTCATATATCTGCAGAAAGAACCTATACTTGACCTGGGCGAGCTTCGGAGCATGAAACGAGAAAAAAAAACCAAACAACCCGAATTTCTTTGCAAACTTGCTCCTAGAGATTATCTGAATTGCTGATTACGAAACCACATCTGCTTAGCAGGATAGCTTTGCATTCTAGGGCTAGAGCGAGAAGAATTTGGGACGACAAAATTTTTCCACAATTCACCAGCCCTTCTGTCTTTTCTAAAAAGAAGTCTGAGGCTATTTTTTTAGCGCAGGATAATTTACAAGAACAGTATCATCAACAGTACTTAGTGGAATTTTCTATGCTGGATAGGCGCTGCCTCACATCTTCGCGGAAGGACCTCCGCAGAAAAATTTGAGATGGAAACGGGATATCGAGGACATCGTACCCCCACTTCCAACTTAAAGGTAGTGTCCGGGCAAGAACTCGATTTTGAGATTTTGTGCCTACTTGGGCCTATTCGCTACTCTGAATCCGAAAATGCATATTGCAGAGCGCGAAAATGGCGAAAAACGGCTCTAACACGGGAGGGAAATGAGCAAATGGGCGGGGTTCTCCCCACTGCGAATTCACGTTCCCGGATTCCGGAGCGACCTTCTCGCTTCCGGTTTCAAGTCAATCATTCGCACTTGACTGGTAGCGATGTTAGGACGGCTAGCGGAATCGAGAAAATCGCCCCGGGAGCTGGGAGCGTGAAATCGCATTGGGGAAAGCCCCGCCCACCTGCTGATTTCCCTCCTGTGCAGAGCCCTTTTTCGCCGTTTTGGCGCTTTCCACTGTAGATTTTCGGATTCAGCATGGCGAATAGGCCCGTATAAGCACAAAATTCAAAATCGAGTTTTTGCCCGGACACTGCCTAACATAAGATGCTCCGCGCCGAGCTGAGTCGAATGGTGGTTTCGGGTTTAGAATTCGTCCACTCTGAAGCGAGATAATGGCCACGCGACGGTGATATCACATAACTCATGCGACCGTCACATAATTGAAGCGACCGTCGCGTGACTTATGCGACGGTTGCGTAAGTTCACTTCAATTTTTCCACCATCCTTTCTATCTCTTTTGAAAAGAAGTCTGAGGCTATTTTTTAGCGCACGATAATCCACAAGAACAGTGTCATTGAAAAATCAAAAAGTGTGAGCGGTATTGTACTTCAGTTTAGATAAACTAATGGAGGGCTCGAAGGCAAAGAAATTCTCAATAAACTTGTGCTCTTCATGGGACGTGTTATGTCTTTGCGCACTTTTTCTCAGATTTCTTTAGACCCATGAAATCACCATTACGCACTTCTGCTCTCCGTTTAAATTACATCGGCTTGATACACGACCATTGCATGTACTTATCGTTGAGCGAAAGAAAACGCATAAAAATCTAAAAACTGATCACGGAGAAATGAAGAATATTTTGAAAAGTTTTAAATGCTCAGAATCCTGACGTTCTGTTCACAAAACATCTGCATTTCAACGTGCCGACGAAAATTGTTTGCCGCATCAGCTACGCGTATGCACACTTGCACTTTTTTCATGACTAGACGTTAAGAAAGTGGAATTTGGCCTATTCCGCAAATCCAATGCTGGATTGGCCCCGGTATAGATAACCTCGTATCACAAGTCGTACAACAATAAATTTTTAGCCTTTTTCGAGTGCTAGTTGCCGAGGTATCTCGACTCCAACCTAAAAACCCAAAAAGGAGACTCAATTTTTAGCCTATTCTAAATTTCCAAATTTCTACAACCACAGTATACATCTGAATATTTTATATGTAGAGTATGTGCTTGACAAAGTTGGGATTTCCCGGAATCTTTTCAGACGATAATCTAATTTCTATGTTCCCAGGATTTTCTAGATTTCCCCGCAAACTTTGTGTAGAACAACTTTTGCGAACATCTGAAAATTATCTTCTAGAGATTGCTTCGCTCTATCGTATTATGTATATACATTTTTATATCTTCTCTGCCATTCAGGTTAAGGGATAGTGGTATGAATTACAGGTAAACTTGTTTCAGTAATGGCCCTCCAACTGTTTTGGAAGGTCATTTTAGTAATGACCTTCCAACATTCCAACTGAGTCACATGTATGCGAAATATCTTTATCTTTAATAAAAAGTTTGTGTTCGCATTTTGGGCAATCAAAAACATTTTGATTATTCAATGCGTGGTTAGAACTGGAATGAAACAGCAGAGGCAAAAAGCGTCATGCATACTAGTCAATCCGTTCCTGTCAAGTGATTTATTCGTTCTATGCGGTATGTTTTCAGATATTTTGAAAGATACAGAGACATTCAATTTCATACTTTCCTGCGAGGGTCGACTGTTCCCTCCCATTCCCAAAAATGATAGGAAACGTGCACAAAAACACTTGAACGGAGAGGGATCTGCCATGTTGCTACATTAGATGACTGATCATCTCTCTGCAGAAAAATGAGAAGAAATATAAAGTTTAAGGCAATTTATCGACGATTTTAGCACCCTTTCAATCGGTAAGCATGCAACATCTTCTAATCTTCCCTGCAGACGTTGGCGATCACCGTGGGCCAATGATGGCAACTTCCTTTACATAATTATGGGGGCAGGCGTTATGGAGCAGAGCTACTCCGCATTTCCCTGCGGTACATATATCTTGGGGCATTTGCGCTGCGTTGCCACTAGCTGCAGCTGGGGAGTAGCGCTACTGCCAGCGATTTTTACCATTCCCTATCGCTAGTTTCGGAAAAAAATGTTCAAACTGTATAAATAAAACAGTGAAATGAGAAAACGAAAAAATAAATGAGTTTTAGGGAGAACATAAGTGAACTTTAAGGACGAACCAAGCTGAATTTCAACTGCTTAGAGGCAGCGTCCACCCAAAATCTATTCCAGATTACTACTTACTCAGACAATCACAGGCTCTCAGCGGGCCCCACCAAAAGCGTCGTTGCCTTATCGCAGCCACTGTCGCTTCCCGCTGAGAGCTTTGTCGGAGCTTTGTCGGAGCTTGTCGGAGCGGACTCGCTGCCCGCTGAGCCCGCTCCGACAAGCTCCGACAAAACTCCGACAAAGCTCTCAGCGGGAAGCGACAGTGAGGCGATGAGGCCACCGCGCTTTTGGTGGGTCTAGGCGGTGGCTTTGTGGCTGCCGGCTGAGAGCATTTGATTGTCTGAGTAGCTTATCCTACTACTAGCCTCTAAAAGCAAGACAACCGCTTTGGTCCGGTCTCCTAATGTTGCCTATAAAGGAGGTAACGGACCGGGGTCCTCTTTGCGCCCCGCCCCTTTTTTGTGCTCCACTCACCACGATTACCCCGGGACACGTTCTGACACGACAAGCAAAGTCGAAACATATGGTAAGGCACTGTTACACACGACGAGGTTTCTTGTTACATACGAGCCTGATCAGCGCCAAGGTCCTCCCCAGTGCCAAAATAGGGCTTTGAAAAGGCAAAATTTTGCCAAACGTATCTTTTGCGAGCTAACATTGGCATTCGCTCGCATGGTCATC